CAAACGCACTCATAATTGTTAAGTTTGTCGATACAGATGTGTCCAATCGGACAAACAACTTGAGCGCATTCATCGATGTTTACCTCACAATTGAGACCTTAATTGATTCAAATGAAATCAATTAAAGCATTGCATTAAACGGGGAAATGAATGACAAGACAGCCATACCTGTGAAACCTGGCGGACAAGTGCACGCATAGAGTGGCGATGGTCTCTGTGTAGTACACGTGCCGTTATTAGCGCACGGACTGCTTTCGCACGCGTCATACAATAGCTCACACGTGAGACCCGCGTATTGTGAGGGACAGATGCACGTGAAGTTGTTGGGCAGGTCATGACATGTGCCTCCATTAGCGCATGGATTAGTTGGCATACAGTCGTTGACATCCACTTCACAGTTAGCGCCTATAAACAGTTGTACAGTGTTTTAATATGAATTCTTGTCAACAGGTGTTTGGCAGACAATACCTTCAAAACCTTCGGAACAAATACAAGTATAGTTGGTTGACGTGTCGTTCATAAGACATGTCCCGCCATTAAGACACGGCTGGGAATCGCAAAGAGATTCTTCAAATTGGCAATAATTGCCAGAAAATCCTACAAAATAGACGAATACATCAATTGTATTGTTTTGTGATGTGATTTGTGAAATACCGTTAACACAAATGCACACTCCGTTCAAACACTGGCCTCCATTCAGACAATCGTTATTATGTTTGCAATTGTTGTCAAAGAGTTGACAATTGATTCCATGAAAGCCTTCAACACATTCGCAGAAGAAGCCAATACTGTCGTTACCGGTACTTCCAGATGGCAATGGATGACACAATCCATTATTAAGACACGGACTCGAATCACAACCACTCAATGGCTGACAATGGGGTGGAACTCCTGTAATAGTCATACACATCATGTTTGACGCTCTAATAGATCCCACAAGTGATCAATAAGTGATAATTACCAGAAAATAGATGATCGCAAACACATGTGAGCAGTGAATTGCAGTGGGAATGTATGGGACAGTCCTTATCTTTGTGACAGACAGTCGGTCTCTCATGTGATGGACTTATTGTGACAAATGATGGCAAAGAAGTTAACAATACTGTTCTCGGAGTGGCAATACTGGCCGCAGTCAACACCAGCCCAACCGTCGGGTCAACTCTCGGACTCCTCGACGTGCTTTCAGTCAATACATTTGTTACCCAATTATTTGTCACATTCAATGGTTTGGATGATTGGGTTTGGGTTTGGGTTTGGGTTTGGGTTTGGGTTAAGGCAACCCTAAGGACGGCATTTAATATCACAATTGTGTAAATGTATTGCATTTCTATACAAATACTGTTAATTATATCATAATTATATCAAAACTACTGTTAACTCTCATCTCAATTATGAGATAACAAATTCATTAAATAAACTAAAATACAATTTGAACACAAAAATCACATCTCAATGAATGCATGAATGAATAAACAAAACATAACACAAATGTAATAAAAAAAGTGAAAACAAATACCAAAGCATTCAATACATTGTGTCTGCGATTCAGTGCTCTCTGTGTTTGCCATTCATTGCATTCATTACACAATACACACAAACCCTCCACTCATTCACTTAAACTCGTCGACCAATGGTTTCAATCAAAACACTTCATTACACTCACAGCTATACTCCCACTGTCTCTGCCCTCCCTATGACTCATAGAGAAAAATTCCTACTGGGAATTGTTCCCAAAGGAATGTTCCTAGGAATATTCCCTGGGAAAATTGGGAATATATATTTATTCCCTTTGGGAACATTCCCAATCACCCCCAATTGGGGGCAAAATGGGGGTAAAATGTGGGGGTCGACACACTTTACTACTGGCGCCATCTGGTGAGTGAGCTTTTTGGGTGGGAACGTTCCGGGAATATTCCCACTGGGAATATTCCCAATTGGGAATATTTATTATATTCCGGGAATTTTTTCAACCGTATTACACAATACACACAAACCCTCCACTCATTCACTTAAACTCGTCGACCAATGGTTTCAATCAAAACACTTCATTACACTCACAGCTATACTCCCACTGTCTCTGCCCTCCCTATGACTCATAGAGCGGTTTATATATTAGTACATAATATGCCCTAAACTGGTTCCCATAGATTGGGAGTAATGATGAGTTGAGTGGGAGTTTGTGTTGTACTGTGTGTTCGGTCAGACACTGTGTGTACGAAACAGTGGTTTCCAATAGATTTGGTAATCATATGAATGAATACAATATTAATAAAGTATTACTCATTAGTTTCGCATCACTTTTACAGTCAATAACACTAACCAATCATTCAATCATTGATTTGGTCTTCATTTGATTCAATTGCCACTCATTTCTAGCATATATTGTCCAACAAATTGTAAGTCATTGTTATATTTGCCTTATTTTGTTGACCACTTGATAGCCAGAACTCTACTGTCTATATGTGTTGTGTTTTAACATTGAATTAATTGTAATTCAAATAATTGTTTTGTGTTTCAGAAATCCGTGAAAAATGTCGAGTTTTTTCAAACTGTTTGGCACTAAGTCTTCGTCGAAACAGTCGGCGCCCACTCCTGCGGAAGCCATTCAGAAGTAAACACTAGTGTCTCATATGATATACCCATTCGGTTGTGTCATAACGTATCCATGTTTTGCAGATTACGAGAAGTGGAGGAAATGCTTCACAAGAAACAGGAATATCTGGAAAAGAAACAAAACGAAGAGTTAGATGTGATCAAAAAGAATGGCACCAAAAACAAAAGGGTTAGTCTTCAGGCACTCAAACGCAAGAAGAGGATCGACAAACAGTTGGAACAAATCGATGGTTAGACACGCAGACAGTGACCATTTATAGCATGTATTGCTCACCATTTGATGTCCATTTTCAGGCACTCTGACGACCATTGAATATCAACGCGAAGCCCTCGAGAACGCCAACACCAACACCGAAGTGCTTAAGATTATGGGACACGCGGCCAAAGCTCTTAAGCAAACACATAATAATATGGACATCGATAAGGTTTACATCTCATTTAACACCCGTTTGTTTGCATTTATTTACATTGAAATGTATGGCATGTTTAGGTGGAAGACCTGATGGATGAAGTGAGAGAACAGCAACAAATAGCCGAAGAGATCAGTTCTGTCATCTCTAATCCCATTGGATTTGGTCAAGAGGTGGATGAAGACGACTTACTTAAGGTATTAATCACCGCTTTAATTAAATAGTGAAAATTTTAATAACTAACACGTGTTGATTGTATGGCCAGGAATTGGAAGAGATGGAACAGGAAGAGCTCGACAAACAACTGTTGGACACAACACCCGAACAACAACTGCCAGAAGTACCCGCAGAAGTGCCAGTGGCGGTGCCCCGTATGTCATATATATAATTATTGGTAATTTGATTGTAATTGTAATAAATTTATCTCCACTTTAGGCACAAAACAAAAAGAAACGGAAGAGTCGGATGAATTGAAAGAGTTGGCCGAATGGGCTAATTAGACATCACTCCTATTATAAGATATTATATATAAATATTATAAATTTTTAATTATTATAACTTAAAACAACAAAAAATAGTTTTATTGAATTTAATGTTAAAAATAATTATAAAAATTATTTTAAGAATAACATCAATTTCTAAGTAATGATTTGCACAGAAAAGTAATCAATTTATTTACAAACAAAACAATGTGTGACAACAACTCAATACTCAGAATTCCTGAACGAGTTGTAACAATCTTTGTTTCTGTTGTTCGTCCCTTTCATTCGCTAAGTTTTTCATAATATTCTTAATAAACTTGTAATGATTTACAGAACTAATTGCGTGCAAATTAATTAATTTCATTACTCGAGACTTAATGGTCTCTTTGTTAGCGCTTTGGTCGCCCTTTTCGGTGGCATTCGCTTCGACAAAGTCTTCATAGAGTGAACAAATGAGAAGTATTATGTGATCAATCATCTGGAGTGTGAAGAGTCCGCCATCAGTGAGCCGTCTCATGAAGAACTCGTCCTCATCGATGGTGTCATCGTTGATCACTTTGAGTGCTCTCTCTTTTTTGATCAACGAATCACATTTGATAAGCCTTTCGGCGTATTTGAAATGCAATTCAATGAGTCGATCGGTCTTTTCAAAGTCAGATTCACTAAACTTTGACAAAACCCGGCGCTTGAGTTCACTTCGCGAATGACTCAATAGAGCCAATGTTATTGAGAGGCAGTGCTCTTCGATCTCATCCACAGAAGTGGTCTCTTTCTTGTGGCCGACGATTGAATTGGGTTTCATAAACACAGGCATTAAAATACGTAAACCCAAAATCTCGATGAATTTATTACAACACGAGTCGAGCATTTGATCGCCAGACTTGTCGGCACTCATGCAGTGGTTAATCACTTTTAGGGAACCGATTCTCACTGAAGATGTGGAACCTTTTTTGCGTTTCTCGCGTAATATTAAATTCATTAGTTCTATGCCTTCGCCTTTGAAGAAGAGTTCCCGATTCGGTGGACAACACAACAGCGCTGAACACAAACAGTTGAACAGATTCTCCATATATTCGTGTTCATCACTAGACGACGGGTCGTGTCTTTTGTAATACTATAACATTTAAGAATACAAATAATCAATAAGTGATAAAATGGGATCAAAATACTGACCGAAATGACACGAAGCAAAGTGTCGACGCCATCGCATTCACTCAACAACTTCTTATTGTCGGCATTGCTTTGAAGTAAAATCGATAGTATTTCTGAAGCATAAAGTTTATTGCCATCGAAAGATGGTTTGGCTTTCAATCGCTTCATTGTCCAAGAGATGAGAGATTGACAGTCATTGTTGAGGTTTGGCTTAAAATCAGTCAAATTTTCTATAATCCCTATAAAAGAGACGAAGCAATGAATGGTCAGTAATATTAAAATCGGTGCCAAACCTAATGAATTGTAAACTCCTTCGGCTTCTTCTTTCACTGTTTCGTCTAATCTCTCCATATTTGTCACCAAAAGTGAGATCACTTGACCGCCGAGTAAGGCATCCAATAGAAGGCTCACATCATTCAGTTCTTGGATATCATCCAAATCCGTGAGCTCTTGGAGGAGAGCGACGACACCACACGATATGTCGGTGTTTTCGTGGGACAGAAGTCCCAGAAGTGTTGGGATTATATTGAGGTCAACGATAATGTGATAGAGTTCTGGTTGAGTACTCAAGACATGCATTTCTTGCAATGTGTCGAATAACTCCATCTCACGGTGTTTTCGTGGGACAGAAGTCCCAGAAGTGTTGGGATTATATTGAGGTCAACGATAATGTGATAGAGTTCTGGTTGAGTACTCAAGACATGCATTTCTTGCAATGTGTCGAATAACTCCATCTCTGAGTCCATGAATTTAGTCGGATTGTCACCGAATTTGATCCGCAATTCTTGATTCTTAAGCACTCGTCGTTCAAAATGCAAGAGAAGTCGTTTGAGAGCCGATTCGTCCACTTCTGTCTCAACGGCTTCGGCGGTCACATCCGACTCATCCAACTCTTCGCTCAATTTCCTCTTCAGCGCCGGTCTCTTGGCTTCATTGGACTGATGCTCTTCCGACCCATTGGTGTGAATGTCATCCGATGTGGAGGTCTTGTAGTTCAAGAGCTCGTCCACATCCATACCTATGCTCTCCTCTAATCCTAATGGAAGTCTATATGAAATCAAAACAAGTGTTTCAATACTATTTGAACACAATTTCAAATCAATTCAATTGCTTTCAAAACACATTCAACGCTATTATCGTGTATTCAATTCAATGTGTTTTACAGGTGTAGAGCCATTCACGGGAATGGGGGTCACCACTAGAGCGACCACATGTTCACCAATCACTTGATTGTCTACAATTGAGACAGTATTTGCAAGTCTGGAGACATATTTTTAACATAAAGTCTATGGGATGTGTATTTTTATGGGATGTACGTTATATAATGCATATTTAATTATTCACCAATTTAAGACACATTTATGCTTAAAGTTGCGAATTCTACAAAATGAATGTGGTCAGTCTAGTCACGACTAGTGAGTAGAGGGCGTAACGTATATTACAGTATAAATAGGAGACAAACATTGCTGAGTGAATGAACTGAAGAGACCTCTACTCACAAAATGAAGACCCGTTTGACTCAACAATTGATGAAATGTTTTGACAATTAATGCATTATTTGTACAATTGATTGAAAATGTTGTGAAAATTGCAAACATTTGTCAATTGATTTGATTATAAGAAGAAGTGTTTACTTCCGGAGATGTCTTCTATGAATACAAACGACAATCAGAGCTGTTATTTGGCTTTGATGTCAATGGCAGAGGAGTTCCGGACACAGACTCCTCCCGACATGAGGTCTTGTGTCCAGTGTTTGTTGGCATCGCTTAATGTGTCAACACATCCAGCAATTGAAGCCAAAACTCATCTTCATTTGGGAAATATTTTACTTCATTTCACCACTAATTTAGATAAAAGTCAATCACATCTCGAGAAAGCGGTTTGTTTTCACTCCCATTGCATCTCATATTAGAGTTAATTAACGATTGTCTCACTGTTTGTCACTATATTTAGTGGTATTTATCGCAATCAGTGCCTAATTGTGAAGAATTAAAGTTAGAATCGGCTTCTCTTCTCGCTATGGTTTACGAGAAAAAGGTATTTATTGTTACACTTATTATACGATTCCCTCATTATTGCCATTATTCATATCAATTGATTGATGTCTTCGTTAATCCAGAATGAGATGAACAGTTCGAAGCAGATTCTGACCAAAGCTATCGAGGAATCGCAGCACTGGATCTATTGGCACTCAAGACTACTCTTTCAATTGGCCGTAAGTTTTCACTCACAAATTGGTTACAAATAATAGTAATAAAAATATAAACATTACATGACATGACTATATTGTCAATACAATTGGTTTGAATTGCTTTAAAACACTAGTATTTTTTGAATAATGTTTTGAGCGCTAACGCTATGATATAGTCATTTAAACGCTACCAATACTGATCACCAGATTTGAATTTAAATGATGTGTCAATTAAAACGATATTTAAATTGTATATTTGCCGAGAAAAAGATAGATGCTTTGATTTGATTAATGAAACTAGTATTTTGTTAAAATAGTAATAAAAATGTATTACATTTGTAGCAAATCCACGCCAATGAGAAGGAGTATGTGTCGGCATCTAATATATTGAGTATAGGCGCCGATTACGCCAATATGTCTGGCGCTCATTACACGCGAATACTGTTCCTATTGAGCAAAGGAATGACATTAATGATTGACAGACGGCTCTCGGAAGTGCATCCAGTGTTGAGTCTCGCGGGACAGTTAGTCGAGACCTGGAATGGAAACCTGCAGATGAAAGAAGCGCTTAAAGTTTACTTTCTTGTGCTTCAAGTTTGCCATCACTTGAATGCCGGACAAGTGAGTGCTTTTTGAACGCATCTCTATATTGCTTAAGCGTATTATCAATATTTATGGACAAATATTTAATTATAGGTTAAGAGCGTTAAGCCGTGTCTAAAGCTTTTACAGCAAAGCATTCAAAGCATAACTGCTTATCACAGCGAAGACGGTATGATTTAATACATGCATTGCAGAATTTATGGACAAATATTTAATTATAGGTTAAGAGCGTTAAGCCGTGTCTAAAGCTTTTACAGCAAAGCATTCAAAGCATAACTGCTTATCACAGCGAAGACGGTATGATTTAATACATGCATTGCAGATCATTTTATTATATATGACTGATTTGTATTGTTTGACAATTAGATTACGTGAACGTTAATCCCAACGATATGTTCATATGGATGCCGAGAGAGCACATGTGTGTTCTCGTATATCTGGTCTGTTGTTTAAACTGATAGTTGTTTGAATGATTATAACGTTTGGTATGTTAGGTGACAGTATTGCACTCAATGCAAGCCGGGTATATGGATAAGGCGCAGAAGTACACCGAAAAGGCTCTCATGCAAATCGAAAAGCTTAAAGGTATGTCAATATAACTGATGGTCAATTTGAATCATATTAAGTGATACCCTTTTTACCACTTATTACAGCTGTAGGCACTCACCCGATGCTCAACACATTTCAATTGTTACTTCTTGAGCACATAGCTATGTGTCGGCTCGTTATGGGAAACAGAACTCTTGCTATTAAAGAGGTATACAGTATACCGTATACTATTGAGATATACGATAGAGATATGCGTCTAATATAACATTGTTATGGTTTACAGACGGCTCAAGCGTTGCAGATCTGTTACAGCGATCCGAAGCTGAAAATAAGGCACAAACCAATGATTCACGCCTTACTGGGAATGTACGCCATGTCCATGAAATAATATAACATTGTTATGGTTTACAGACGGCTCAAGCGTTGCAGATCTGTTACAGCGATCCGAAGCTGAAAATAAGGCACAAACCAATGATTCACGCCTTACTGGGAATGTACGCCATGTCCATGAATCTGACCGATGCGGCCGAAGCGCAACTGGCCACTGCTTTGAGAGTAAACAACTTGCGAATTACTTGATCCGTATTTAATATTAATAAATTGTTTTGAATTTTGTGATAATTAGGCTCCGAGTGCGTGCACTGAGCTCCGGGTTATGACATCTTTGAACTTAGCTATCGTTTACTTAAGGAACAAAAGAGAGAAAGAATTAAACGACTTATTGGCGAAACTTAATCCCGAAACTCTCCCCTCAGTGTATGTCAATTATGACGAGCTTTTAATTTAAACTTAAACTCAATTTACAATTTGTTGATATCAAGAGTTTCAGATTTTCGCCGGCGAAAAATACACGAGCCTAACTTGAGTAAGAAAGTCAGCGCTATATTGCTACGTTTCATTCTGAGGAAATAAACAACGCGAAATAAGAGTAGGGAATAGAGATGTTTAGACGATATCTGAGGGAAACTCTGAAGATGGCAAACGGCGAAGATTTGAATCGATTGACTTCCTGTTCACTCGTCCTTTTGGGACATATATTTTATTCATCGGGAAATAGGTATATATCATGATTGAGACAAATGGCTATACAAGTGCATTAACTAAATGATTATGATTACAGCCGCGAGAGCATGAATATGGTAACTCCGGCCATGCAGTTGGCCAGCAAAATACCAGACATTCACGTCCAGCTCTGGGCTACGTCTCTACTTAAAGGTATTGTGAACTATTGTTTTATACGATATTAAAATAATTCATAAAACAAACCAATCTAGAAATGCCTGTCAAACCGCTTGTGTTGGCTGTTGTTCTCCGGTAAGTTTACGTAGTGTCGAAAAGCGTTGATGATCTCTTGCTGGTGAAGGTCCGGACACAACTACCCGAACATAACTATATTCACGTATGAATTATTGAAGTTATTTGTATCATATCTTAACGATTAACTAATTATTATTTATTTATTTTGTTTAGTGGTTCGATAATACGGACACAGAATAGACTTAATATATTTTATTTTCATTCATGGCTTCATTTCGATGGATTTAAAGCTTGTATTTAACACATCTGTAATATAATAAAAACATATAATTGTTTTCTAATATTATTTCAAAACACTATTCAATGTATAGAGAAAAACAAAATTTAAATATAAAAACTATTGAATAAATAAAATAAATTAATATGAAATACAATGTATGGGTGAATGTGTGGAAACACCTGTGAGAAGAGTGTGGATTAGTATGATTTCTATGACAATACGATTGTTTTCGGTTGAGTTGCAGTGAGTTTGCACCGGAATAGTGCTGTTTCTCAATACTTAGGTGGAGCTAAACGTGTGAACAGAACTATATTCTGAATGCAATATTCTTGTATATCTATATGATATCATACTCTATATGCGATTCATAGCTTCCATAACTGGTCCGCAATTGTATTCAATTCCGTTATCATCGAAATTGACACTAAATATGACATGAGATTCACAAACATGTCGTCGATAACGGATTGGAATCTATTTTATTGTTTCTGTTGTTCAGTCATATATTCAATACGTTAGCTAATAATGAAAATGATATAAATCGGTAAAACGATTGTCATTATCACCGCATCATCTGATAAGACATTGAACTTTGATATCAAGATGTCTTTGCTTTGTGTGACCGTCAGGAGAGCCCAACTGATCGGAACCGATGGTAAGTGTGCTGTGAATTAAATTCTGTTCACAAGAATAATGTATGAATTAATAATATTATGTTTGATTGAAATGTCAGCTCAATTCAACTCATATGTGACACTAAAGCTACAGAATGTCAAATCAACGACAGTTACTGTTAAGGGCTGTCATCCCAATTGGGAACAGGACTTCATGTTTGAGACCAATCGTATGGACACCGGTCTCGTGATTGAGCTCTGGAATAAAGGCATGTTATGGGATAAACTGATTGGAAATCATTGGATGCCTTTAATGGGCATCCAATTCGCCACAGATGTAGGAGAGGGACAGTGGCTGACACTCGACGCCGAACTCGAGTTAATTAACGGCGAGGTTTGCGGAACCCATACACCGACCGGTCATTTGCTTCTACTGGAGGCCCACTTCGAGCCTCCGTATGAGTTGCAGATCGACGACGTGGGAGAGTTCAGCCGTAAATTGCAATTTCTCAACACATATATGGAGCAGGAAATGGTGGCCTGGAATCAGGACCAGAGATCCCGATATAATCATCCAAATCAGTTGTATTCAGGACTTTCGGAAGACAGTGATTACACGAGTGATGTCAGTTATCCCATCCAACAGCCATGCATTTCATCACACCATCCAAACAGCTCTTCCTCTCATTTCGGCGGTATATCTCATCTGAAGAGTCAAGCGTTCGATACCATGGATTCGACAGTTAAACTCTCAAAAAGTTCTCTTCTTAGCGACCTTATAGGGTTGCTAAGGGGTAAGTTACGGTTGGTTTCGGTATTGATAATGAGGTTATTTAGGTTATTAAAGGTTTTAAGTACATTATTACTTAAATACGAACCGCTTTCCTATAATAGTAGACCTCCTCAAAGACGGGTTCTGCCACAGATCAACGCCACCGATAAACCGGCCCGTAGTCTACCAAATATCATGAATGTTAATAAGGATTATCACCAAAATAGTCATAATGTTAGGAAAAATCAATTTAATAATGAATTAGAAAACTCTCAATACTATAACGATTACGAAAACACTAATGAAGAGACGCCAACACAACAACAACTTCCAGCCCCACGAGTCAATCAACGCCGACAACCCATACGTAAACCAAGTTTGGAAAGACAGGGATGTTTTGAACACTTTGACGAGAATTATGAGTCAGAGCATCAAAAACAGTAAGTTTTCATGGTTCCAAAAATATTGTGTTTACGACTAGAGTTACTAGTCATAATGTCACAGCTGCTCAGCAAGTCTCGTCTGTCAATACTTTCAATACCATTATTATCATATCTTCAACTGCAAGAACCAGAATGTGAAGTGTCTTTAGGAACAAACTTCAATCAATTCAATAATTGTACTCAACTTTCACAACGAAACCCAGAATTAAGTGCCGGTCCTATCACTTGGAACAACGAATCACAAGATAACCACTTCCACGATGAGGGCCACGAATGGACGCGAAAGAACTCCGACAAGAAGAAGGAACAGTGGAAGAGCTCAGCCCAATCTGAGTCAACCATTTGGCAGACAGTCTCCGAAGAAGACCACTTCGACGACACCACTCATAACAATGTGAATGAGAAACAGTCGCCGCAGTTCTTCACTCCTAAGTCTAGTATTGACCAAACGGTTGATTATATTGTTGACGAACGGAGAGACAGTTTAGGCCGTCAGAGCACCGACGAGACAATACCGGCCGACGAGATGAGTGACTTTGTGCCGCCAGGACTGTCCCAACCAACCAATAGTCAGCCACCGCACAGTGCCATCAAAAGTGATAGCAAACCTTTGGGTGAACCAAAAACAGTTACATTTAGTGATGATATTCCTAATAAAAGTCCTCCAAAAGCTGATTTACCGGCGCCTATAATGCCCTCCACAATGACCACAAGTATTGGGTCGAGTATGGCCTCAAGTATGACCTCCAGCCTAACCTCCAGTCTGACCACAAGCCTATCAAGCAGTGCCAACCCCGAGGGTTTGTCCCGCGCAAGGGTTCGCTGGATTGCAGCTTTCAATAAGATTGCATCGGAATTCACCGAGGTCTGTGCAATATTTATTTTCTAACTTACATATTTAATACATGTTTGCAATTAAACAATCAATTCGTTATTCACTTACAATATATTCAACTACTGTATTTTTAATTCATTAAATGCTAAAAATATTCTTATACTTTATCACTAAATATTAAAAGCAATTTTAGCAAATATATTGTAATTGTAGTGTAAATTAAATCAAGTGTTTTAGTTATTTGTCTGACAAAAATATTTTATTTCAAAACATACCAAAAATCAAAAGTTTCAGATGTTTTTAAAAAATAAATATCAGTCAAATGTATAGAGTTTTGGGCGAATGTCATAAACAAATATGTATTTCCCTTAACTCATACAATACTGTAATTGTATTTTATTTATGGTTTTATTGATTGCGATTTCTATAGCGTAAAAACATTTGATTTATGATTGCTATATAACTCATAACAGCAATACAATTATAGCCGTAGTGACTATATTAAGACATTAGTGCTGTAATTGCTATCAATAATATCAATATAATATCTCCAAAACCGTATATAATGATTAAATTGCCTAAATTGTGTTGGATGCTTTATCATAATTTATTATTACACACTGTTTAAACACCAATACTTTTAAGTGTGTATTTTATGAATATTATATATTTCAATGAATTTAAGTTAAAATTAAGCATGATCACATTCACGTGTATCTACATATTTGAGATATAAGGGGGGATTTAAAAAAATTAATTAATATAATTTATAAATTTACATTTGTTGTAATATTTATTTGTACTGTACAAAAGCTGTTTCTACTATAAAAGTAAAATATAATGGTTATCGCAGATAACTTATGTGAGTCAATGATTACATTAATATAGTATTGATAGCAGATATGGTTAGATAATGTTGTGGTCGATATACTGCTTGGATACTAGATTTCACAATAATGACCACTTTTGTTTGAAATATTTTTGAATCAATCACATATTTAATTAACCATTGTATTTTTATATTGGTTTTTTAATTTTTGTAAAATAATACCTATTTATAACGTGATATAAAAAACATACAATTAAATCTTTTAGCATAATGCTTGTCTCTAATATACACCATAATTAGTGGCAAATTAAATAAAATAACGATTATATCCTTTTAAACTATATTTTATTAATTTATTTTTGTGCAGTTTTTTCAAATGACTTTATTTTAGTTCAAGTATTTAGTCCTTTTTATTCATTACTTTATTTTAAATTATAATTTAATTAAGATTGTGTTTAACCAGAATTATCCAGAATATTGCATTTAATTTAATGATTATATACATTATAGTATTTTATGTTGTTATTTTTGTAAGTTATTTTATAAACACATGCCAAATTAACAATTAATGTGTCCAATAAAATGCTCATATTGTGATCAAATATGCAAACAAAACAAATTAGTAAAGTTTTTACATTTTTGATTATTTAATGCCATTATTTTATCTAAAAGATCATCTTGTAAAAATATCCATCATGTAAAAAATATAGCATGGGCATTTTATTTGTTTTTATAACCTTGTTTGTTCATTATTCAAATTAAATAATACAGTATAAATTACTGTAGTATAATTAGTATAGTATGATAATGTTGTTGTTTAACTTGATAATTAGTTTAAAAATAATATCTAAGCATTTCATTTAATGCAACTGCATATTTTTGTCGGTTAGTTATATATATTTGACCAGTTTTTAGTGCTTATTATATGAAATATTTGACTGCTTATAAATGCATATTTTGAAAGGCTTTAATAATGTTTAAATGTCATTGTTTATGCTTTCTTGTTTTGAAAATTAATTGATAAATTATTTGTTATTCTAAATTATAATCAATTATATTTATATATTGAAAATTACAAAAATTGATTTAATTATAATTTAAATTATTTTAATTAACGATAAATTATATTTTTGAGCTAATTTATTGAACAATAAAAAAATTAATATTTTATTTGATTGAATATATTTTCTAATGCTTTGAATGCTTTGAAAATTAATTAGTTTACTATAATTTTTATTTTAATCATTGAAATATAATTTGAATCTGCATTTATTATGTTGTATATTCTGTATATACAGTAGTGATAGCAATATTTTATAAACAAAATGAATATTTCTATATATTTATATCAAAATATTGTCGATCCTATAGACACGAAAATTGCGGCAAAATTTTCATTATAACTGCAATTATAATGATATTAACATATGAGAGGTATAACTCAATAAAGGCGGTTATGAATACAGCAATGTTATACATAACCGCCTTTATTGCTTTATGCCTCTCATATGCTATGAATACTCTATACAATTCTCGCAATACTTAACATTATAATTATTGTGATATATTTTTATTAATTTCA